TCTACTTGAAAATGACCCTCAAAAAAGCTTAGGGTTATCTTTGAAGCATTTTCTGAAATGTCTGCATCCTCCAACAGAGCATGATAGAGGGTTGCTTGATCCTCTGGCTCCCATACTTCTCTCACAGACTGAAGGGTATGGGGGGAACTGGGGAGGACAGCCAGTGCTTGGGTTTCCTCTGGGATGTTCAGGGGCTGAGAGACAAGCTGAGATAGCAGCCCTGCCCCCCCCACCCCCTGGTTCCCTGGCTGGAAGGCACTGCTGCTACATGCTTTTGCAGCCATATTGAAAGCACTTTGGTGGAGGCTAAATGTCTGCGTAACAAGCTGAAGCACTCCAGATTGGGACAGGATTTGGAGTACTTCAAATGGATGTCTGTCCATGCCCTTAAAGACCCAAAAATGCAGAAGATTTGTTTAAAAATAATCTCTTTTTGTGGGTGAGGAGCTGACTATTCATAGGGCCCTTTGGGAGTGGTGGTGTTTTTCATTTGTCTCCTTGAGCTCTTCTGTATGAACCTAAAAGTTAGGCATATCCTAGACAATTGCGAAAGGAAAAATTCTACATTGGGAGAGAGAATCAGTTGCTAACCCAAAAGAAGCTCTGACCTTTTGTTTTATAGCTGCATATGCTTTGCAGTGGCATATCCCCAATTGTATACCATGGAGTCAAGATCTTATAATTTCTTGGATAGGTAATAAATGGTAGCAAGTTCTTGAATACCCATTTGAAGTCTGTGTTGGGAGTAGTTTCAGGCAAACTCAGTATCCTATGTTGAGTAGCCTTCAAGTCTGAACAAAATAAGGTCATATCTATGTTCTGAGATGCTCTAAATGCAAGTTATCGAATATCATCATTCTGTTTGCAGACCTGCTAAAACTTGATGTTTAACTATGATTTAGGACTTGGGCCACTAGACCAACTGTCTAGTGGTGACTAAAAGCAAATCTGGGTAGTGGAGGGGGAAGCCATCCTAATTTAGATTGGCTTCCTTTTGCAGTTCAGTGTTAAGAGATGAGGAAAGGAGAAATTCAGATCTACCTTACCACAAAGATTAAATTGATATGAATGTTTTTTATTAAGAATTGTTACTTACTGTTTGTAAGATCAAACCAAGCATTTTTGTGTAGTGAGTCATTTATAATAATTTAACACAATGTTTGAGGTACTTGGGTTCATGTTTTCTGTTGACTTAAATATTGAATTCTGTGTAGGTTTTAAATAGCTGAGTTAATGTCTAAATGTGGTAGTTCATAAAAACTTTGAACTCTCTTGAAGAGCTTAAGTTTCTGTCTGGGTGACTATCCATTAGATTTATTAATTGCTTTTTTTCTGGATAAAAAAGCAACATATTCCGCTTTGCAGTAGGTTGTACGTTCACCAAGTCTTGATGTTCTAGCCATTTAGGGAAACTGACTAAATTCAATTTGAAGGAATAACAGAGACTTTATTTTATGCTGTATCTGACATTTACACTGTTTAGTAAAAATCGCTAGGCATGCATGTTAATTTTCATTCACCTTGGTGGTGCTGTGGAAAAGCTTAAAAATGTTAGCTGGTTTTGAGATACAGGGGTTCTTGTAGAGAAGGTTTTATTTGTCAAGGCAGCTTGGGGATGTGACCATGGATGTGCTGTCAGGTATAAGTGTTAATGTACTTATCTTTTTAGTATATGTACAGTGAAGTCAGTATCCCTGCAAAATAATGGAAGGTTTTTATTAGAAGTAAGACTATAAACCTTAGTCTCAAATCGATACAAAGATTTACTTGTGCGACTCCCATTAACGCTAATGGAAGTTGCAAGTGTAAATCCTTATGCATTAGGATGACAATATACCACTGTTTCTACTTGCTTATGAACAGTGTGGTCACTCATGATATCAACCCTGACTTGAAGTACTATGGGAAGCTTTCAAGTAGCTTTCTAAGCTAGTGGATAGCAGTGGATACCATTTTCTTTTGTTGTCTGTCCCTTTATGTGCAGGTAGATAAGGGAGAAGAGCTCACAGTAAGAATACAAATGTAATGGCTTATAATTATCCAGTAGACCGCTCATGGATAAATAAGCTCTGTGCTTTTGTATTATAAAATCTTTGTCCTAGATTATAGCTACCCTTCTTGGCTACTAGAACTAAAAAGAAAAATTTAAAATGTTTATACTCTTCTTATTTTAAATCTGGTAGTAGAGCATATTAGTCAAATGAATACTATGTTTTAGTGAGAATAGGTCACCAGGTTGCGTGAAGAGGTGGAGGCAGAAGTATCTTAAAAAAAAAAAAAAAAAAATTGGCCTTGGAAATGGATAATTTATAGTGGAAAGTGGCATTATCAGTACAGAGTAGGTTTAGATTTGTCATATGGCTTGTATAATCGCTCCACACCCTGAAAAACCATGCCCTTCAGATGTTTAGCCATTTTAAGGGCTGAAATAACAAAAATCTGTTCACTAAACTGTTTCCTTTTTAATCTAATTCTAGAAGCCTTTTTTGCATTTTGATTAATCGTAGATTTGATTCACTGTAGTTTTAAAACAGTAAAATCTATAGGTGGTTACAAACAAAACTTTTTTTCCTTCTGATTCCTAAGAATTGACCTCAGAAACTGCTTGTTTTTGACCCTGTGAATGAGTACAGGAATTCATGTGGTACCAATTACTCTGTAGCACCATCAGATGTATCAAATTGTGCAAGTCAGGATGGTAATGGGAGGGCAATTTTAAAGTGCTTCATCCTCAGACATTTAACTTGAATTGTATTTCTATGTAGTTTTAAAGGTGCAGATTCTCTGGGCATGCCCCGCTTTTATTTTCTTGCCCTTGCCCCTCTTTTATGTGTTCAGATTTTCTTGCCTATAGAAGAGAATGAGTGTCTCTCAGATTTTACTTGCTGTCCCATCTGACAGAGTGAAATTAGTTTTCATACAGAAAGAGGAGCATGGCTTACCTACAGGCCTGGTAGAAATGTATGGCTTTCACATCTCAAAAATTCTCTGGGAGCATTGTTTGAAATGTGACCTTCCACAGTCACTTCTGCTGTTACACCTCTGGGAGAGGTATGGTTGAAGAGACATTATTTGTTTTCTTCACATAGGGATCTGTAGGAGGGAGATACGGGCCATTCTGTAGAAGAAGGATGAGCTCAAACTTCAAAAGTTGCATACATTATGATCAGCTGCCAACTACAGTGTCATAGTATCCACATCTTGTAATGCTCCTGTAGCATACACTGAAAATATTTCATATTTTTTTAATAAAGTGTCCTGGCTTTAGCTTCTATTCTTGTTTCTAACATTTCTCTGACAGTTTTCATGCAGAGTGCTTTATAGCTATCACCTTTCCCCTGGTTTTTTGTCATATGAAAATAAATACAGAAAAATCTGTAAAGTGAATTTGTGTATTGTATAACAGAAGGTTATATCAATTAATATTTGACTAAGGGTTCAATATTGCAAATCCATAACATGGGAAAAGATCCTGCTGGATTATGAATATTTAAATTATTCAGCCCTCCCTATATTAATATTTCTATACTGATCTTAAAAGGTATTGTAGTTGGTGGACTCGCTGCTCTTAGGAAAAGGTGTCCACAGTGGCGACAAGGGGCATTTTTGATAGACCCTAAAAGTTTCAAAAACTTCATGCTCTAGGGAATCCAGTTTCCACAGGGGGCCATTGGTTGTGAAGTCACTTGGGTGCTTTTGAAAATGTTGTTTGTTGTCACAAAATCCATTTTGTTTCGCAAAACATTATAAGAACCAGTCTGAGGTAGTATGTTAAGGTGGACTGCAGTCAATTCAGTTAAATACCTCAAATAAATATTCATGTGAGAGCATGAGAACCATACAATGAGTGTAATTATGGGTATTTTTGGCCCTTCTTGAAAAAATATAGTGACTTGAACAGGATCATTAGTTTAGTTAAAACATTGATTCTCAATCAGGGTGTCTTGATCCTTTCAAGGCTGCTATGGGGTGCCACACAATGTTAACACAGTTAGCTACGGACATGAGTTCACAAGATAAACCCAGAGATTTCAAACAGAAAGCCACAGTGTTAAAAACATTCTGACCTCATGAGGTCTTTTTGAGTTCTTTGTGACAGAATTGCTCTATTATTTTTCTGTAGTCAAAAAATGAGTAAAGGCTATGAGCTGGCATTTTACAAAGTGTACTTTGAGTTTCACAAAGCATGCCTCTAAAAGGTTGAGACTTGCTGAGTTAAAGCACTGAATCTAGGGGTGCACTGATAGAGATTTTGGGGGCCAATACTGGTGGCCAATATTTAAGGAAGCATATTAGCTGATGTTGATCTAATTTCTGATACAGCTGCCTCCAGCTGGTAAGTCTGATGTAGTGGGTAGGAAAGGGTGTGGGGGGGACAGCTCAGTGCCCCCGTGGTGAATGAGGGGGCAGGGTTAGGCAATGCCCAGGTAGGGTGGGGGGGCTGTAGTCGCAGTTCATGGGTGGGGGGAGACAGCTCCTGCTGCTGCTTGCACCCTGGGTGGGCAGGGGGATGTGTACCCGCCCCCCCCCCCCGTATCTGGGAAGGGGGGTAGGGTGGGCTGCAGCTGGGGCTGCACGGGGCTCTCTTTGGTGGGGGCTGGGCTTGGAGTGGGTGCTGGTGGCACTGAGAGGATGCTGCATCGACTCCAGATTTTGCCACTGCCAGCTGCCTGGCTCAGCCCTGGCTTAATGCCCTGCCTCCACCCACGTGCCAAGAAGAGCCAGAGCTGCACTGGGCAGTTGGCAGTGGCAGCACTGGGAGTGGAGTGGCAGTGAAATTTGGGGTGGATGCAGCATCCTCCCAGTGCCGCTGACACCTGCGCTGAGCCCAGCCCCCGCCAAGAGAAGCCCCATGCAAATCTGGGGGGCACATTGAATCCATTTTTGGTTGTGGGGGTGGAGATTTTGTTTTGTTTTTCCAGGGGAAGTGGAAAGGAATTAACATTTTTTAGTTGGATGGTAATTGTGGCTGACAGTTATGGTATCTGTTTTTTGTTTAGCAGGCATCTGATCTACCAAGCAAGGTTCTTCACAGTTGCACATCAGCATGAGGGGAAGGTTCAACAAGGAATAACTTCAGATGTGTTCCAAAAAGATCATTTTAGGTTTCCCTTTAAAGTGCTGGATAAGGCTGTCAGTCGTACTGGCCAAGTCAGAAGAGGACTTCTACTATGGATCTTCCATAGCACACGTAGAAAAGGTGACGGTGCTTTTCGTTGTATGCTAAACTGACGTTTTATTTTCTCACATACCACAGCCTCCCTTCCACCCCTTGGGTTTGGAAAGCAGAATGTAGAAATAAAGATTTTTTACGAGTCATGGGCAGTTGTGTTGGGTTAGAGTCTGAGTGGTGTGGCATCTCAGGAAACAGTTTGGGTGAAGCCGCAGGAAGTTCCTGGCATACAAGACCACAACAAGGCTTGACCCCAGATCTTGCCAAGGGCAGTAACAAGACTGTAACTTCTTTACTGTAAATCGGGGTCAGCAACCCCCGGCACATGTGCAGAGCATGGCACACGAGGCCATTTTGCTTGGCACACCACTGCCAGCCTCACACAGACCTGGGGGGTGCTGGTGCACCCTGGGAGTGCATGCTACTGTCAGCAGCTGGCCCCACCACCTGCCCAAGCACCCAACAGGCAGCAGCAGTGGGTGGAGCAGCTGGCTCCTGCTCCGTCTGCAGCAGCCACTGCCTTCCTTTTGGGGGCAAGAAGGAGCTGTGGACCTGGGTCGCTGGGCCCATAACCCTGGTATCTGGGGGCCCCCTCCAGCAGGGCTGGGGGGAAGGGGCTTTGAGTGGGAGGCAAGGGGCACAAGCAGGGCTGGGGGGCTATTATGGGGGGACCTGCACAAAACAAATATACAAGATCAAAGGTAGTATCAGAAGTCTTATTTATTATCACCAGATTTACAATTTTTAGAAAATCTGGTATTTACCATAAAAAGGGAACATTTTATGTTTATTAACTGTACTAATATGCAGTGCATCCTGCCCTCTTTTTTTTTTTTCTGGAATGCTGGCAGTCCAGCACCTTCCAGTGTAGATGTGTTTTTTTTCGATGCTCCAGCCAAAAAATGTTGCTTACCCCTGCTGTAAATAGTTCCTATAAATAAAAGTGTTGTTTCCACAAAATGCATCTCATCACGGTACTACCAGCTGCATGCAGCAGTTAGCTTATCCTTACCCACATCAGTGGCTCTTCAGCCAAAAGCTACTGCCTCACCACTGGTTGTGTGAGAATTAACACTGGACTCGGCACCTGCTGTTTGCAGCCTTAGGGAGAAGTGGCAACTATCTTGGCTTCAGTTGCAACAAAGAAAAATCAGTGGGTGCAGACAGAAGTGCAGCTCCCAGCTGTAACTGAGGATAATTTTTGCAAAGCGTTCTGAGTTACAACGCTACTCCAGACCAAACAAGTTCGCTGTTTATTCCAGGGGAGAGGGGAATCTAGCTGCCTGCTGGGAGCCTGCAGCCAGGTTTCCACAGCAATGGCCAGAGCTCTTCAAAATGGGAGGGGGGAATAGACAGCAGAGTGAGCTTGTTCTTGGGGCTCCCCAGCTGGTGCTGAAGATATCTTAAGGGGGCTCCAGTACACCTACCCCATTCTGCAGGGGGGGACTAGAAAACCCCCAGGCTGAACACCCTCTGCTCCTTTTTCTCCCTCCCATTTTGAAAACAGCAACAGGCTGGGAGCTTCCCAGACACAAATCACAAAAGTTGCTACATTTTGAAACATCTTTACCTGATACCTCATGCAGTGAGGGGGGTCAGTTTTTCACTGGATTGGCCGTTTTTGAAGTTGTCTGCAGCCATGCACTTGTGTTTGGTCACAGCTATAAACTGTTTTCTGTGGCCATATCAGCCAAAAGTGACAGCATGGATTCCAATTTTGGAGAGCTGACTTGGGAGCAGGATGGGGGTGAGGAAGAGGTGTGTGTTGTATATGAGTAAAATATAGTATTAAGTATATCGGTCCATATTGTATCAGCACCAATTAAAAGAGAAATTGACATTGGCAATTGGCGTTTTTTGGCTGATATAGCTGATTAATGTCACTGATAAATCATGCATGTGTGCAGCCGCAGCATGTACATGGCCAGGAATGCAGCTCAGCAGGTTGGAGAGTAGTGTCTGGCCAGTAAATATGTGCTGGGGAAGGGGCATGGGGGAGGGAAGGAGCATAGAGAGGGGGCAGATTAAGGCCCTGCAGTAATGGAGGGTGTGAGGCTGGGGCAGGTGTTGCCCAGCTGGGGAGAGGCAGGGTGCAGGGCAGAGCAGGTGGCTTATATGGGGGGGGGGCAGCGTCTGCCACTGCAGGCACCCCAGGGGAGGCATGGGGGGCATGTGCCTCCCAGATCTGTGCACAGGGCGAGGGCAGGCTGCTGGTAGAGACAGGAGCTGGAGGCTGTGCCGGACTCCTCTTGGCAGCTGCACTAGCGCGGGGCAGGTGGTGGCAGCACTAGAGGGGGCATGGCAGAGCTACGGCGAATTTTGGGGTGGCTCTAGCCCCCCCCCCTCCCAGCACCACTGCTGCCCACCCTGCCCCGGCCCAGCCTCCCACCACCAGGAAGAGCCTGGCACAGCCTCCGGCCCTGTGTGCACAGTGCCAGTCTGACCTCACCTTGTGCAGAGATCTGCGAGGCACATGCCCCCCGTGCCTCCCCTAGGGGTACACATAGTGGTAGGAGCCATCCCCCCCCAACTCTGAGCCCCTGGCCCTGCCCCACCCAGACTGTGCAGCGCCTCCCCCAACTCCCCTCCCTCCCTTACTGC